TCTACTAGGTCCCTTCCGACCCTAAATCTATGAAACTACTATGAAACTAGGTGGCACGGGAAGGGGGCGGCTCCTGCTGCTATGCGCACCCTGGAAGGGTATGGGGGGAGTGTGTGCCCCCCCAAATCTGTGTGTGGGGGAGGGCAGGCTGCCACTGCAAGCTGGGGCTGGGGCTGGGGCAGTGCCAGCTCTTTCTGGTTGGGGGCTGGGCTGGGCTAGACTGCGCTTGGGGCTGGTGGTGGCAGCACTGGGAGGGAGAGCTGGGGGGGCTGCAGCCACCCCAAAATTCGCTGTAGCTCCCAGCCCCAGCCCACAATGGCAGCCTTCCCTCCAGTGCATGCAGATCTGGGGTGCACCCCCGCCCTCTTCTGCCCTCTTGGGGTGCACATAGTGGCAGGAACCGCCACCCTCCCCACCGTGCTTCCTGGACAAGCCGCGGCTCTGTCCTGTGCCCCACTCCACCCCGTCTAAGCAGCACCCACCCCAGCCCCAGCCTCACTCCCTCTCTCACTGCAGGGGCCTCAATCTAGCCCCCCCCCACGCTCCTTCCCTCCACAATAGACCTACCACCCTGACGCTACTCTCCATGCTGCAGGGCTGCATATTGGAATTGGATTGGTACTGGCCAATAATGGATTGTTAAAAATCAACCATCAATATCAGCCCCAAAAAATCTCTATTGGTGCACCTCTAAAAGAAAGGGTTTCTTTTTGTCCATAGCAGGAAGGCTTAGAGCCTTATTTCTTGCCCCATAGGATCTGAGCCATTATGATGAACACAAAATCCTGGGGGTTTAATGCATGCCTTTCCTGCAGTGCTTCTCTGCCACTCTGTAGGATGGTCATTCTAAGTGCACTTTGTTTAGATCAAGGGTCACATCCTGGACTGTTGCTTCATCTGTCATACTTTTCTTAATGAAGACTAGGGAGGTCCCATAAAGTTTTCTTTCCTTTTATTTTCCCTAGAGTGATGAATGAATATGGAATATTGAATATTCTCTTGAACATGGAGACAGGATGAAGATAAAACTTAGTTGTTCTCCTGCTCCCTTTTTAGCTAATGTCCCATCTGGTCCCCTAGGCCACCAGAAGTACCTTAGATTAGTAGGAACATCTTGCAGTTAGTGCAGGGTATTCCTGTTTGGGCTTGTTCAGCTTTGCAGTTGTTTATCAGGTACTTTGTTGTCACTGGAGTTCACTGGAGGTGAAAAGGTTTTCAACCATTCACCCATAGCTCAGTGAATGTTAATCTGAAGTCACTTCAGCTAGTCAGCAACTAGGATCAAGGTCCAACTCAAAGTAAAGGTTTCTCAGAGCCATGTGAGATTCTGAGTCAGCTATAACTTACCTTCCACAAGAAAGATCCTAAATGATGGTGAATCTCAGCAACTAAAATTCAGGTTCTCTCAAAAATCTCAGTATGAACATTCCTCAGACTTCTGGAAAATGCAGGTTCCTGTATATATGTAACAATTGTCCAGAACTTGTCTTTGCTCCACACAAGAAGAATGTTTATCCAGCATATTGCAAACAAGTCAGTCAGACACCATCTGCTGTCTTCCCACAAGACCATCAGTATGGGGTTCATTCTAGATAACCTTCAAACATAGGGTCCATGGTTCCCTCAAGAGGCTTTTCATGTAAGTATTGTAGAGCTTGGAGCCATGCACTTGAAAATGCAAAGCATTTCTATCTCTAATTTAGGGATCTACAATCCAAGTGTTAAGAGACAACATCACAATTTACACATTATATCGAGGACTGAGGAGGAGCCACGTCCTTATCTACCTTGTCATGGGGATTATTTGAATCTAGACTTGTTGCAGTTGTTGCTAGTTTGTACTCTTGGCTCAGTATCTTCCAGGCATTTGATGGTGTCCAAGGAGGTCACGTCAGCAGCCAGTTCTGAACCCAATAGTAAATTTGTTTGTGAAATGGAATATAAGAAACATCTGTTTTATCATTTGGGTTAGACAAGTGTGAATGCACAGAATTAAAACAAACAAAAACCTTTCACTT